ACATTTACTTTGAAAAGTCATACTTTCAATTGGAAAAAAAAAGATTATCTTCTTAGAAAATGATCTCATACTTGGGAGGTCATTTTTGAATTAAGAATTTTATTCTAGGGATGCCTATAAGCTAGAAGGCGTGCAATGAGTTGAACATAGAAAATGTATTAATGGCAAGTATTTAAAATTGTATATTCTTTCAATTTGGGAGATCAATAAAGAGGTTTTAAAATCTTGATTTTCAAAATTATGGTGAATTTAAGAAGAGTCTTAAAATTAAGTCTAAAGTTAAAAAGAACCAATTAGTTTGAAAATAAAGTAAAAATACTTTTTTAGATGAATAAATTGGAGTTTTTAGTACAAAATTACTACGTATCCTACTCCTAAGAATATCTAAGAAGGTTACAAGTGCTCCAATGAGGTTCAAATGACTATGCCCGTGTCGATGAGTAAAACCGTGCCTCTCCCATCTAATTAAATCTTCATCGACTTGAGTAAGCCGGGAGTCTAAAGCGGCTCGAGTAGACTTCAATTACACTAGTTGTTGTTCTACGTATTCGATCTTTTTATCCAGTTATGTTTTACTTTATTCCAAATAAACCTATTCCTTAGTCAAAACGGTAACAATTTTGGCTAGATACCCTCTTATAAAGACTTACCTATTTTCTTCATATGAGTCTTGCATCTCTTTTTCTTTTTCTAACACTTCGAGCAATCATGTTCTTTGATACCTTGAACAAATCTTGTTCATAGTCATCTAAAGAGAGAGTTGAAAAGAAATTAAGATTAGCGAACTCACTAGATGGGAAAAACTAAGTCTTCATAATCCTACGAGGTCTTGTTAGGATTAAGTTAAACAAAAGTTGAATTTATCGATCTAAAGCAGTGTTTGGCTAAACAAGGATCTCTATTGGTTCTTAGAACCTTAACAAAGGATCTAACGAGACTAACGTCCATAATAGGATTTTGGTTTGAGTCAACCATTAAGCTTTTGTTATCATTATCGCTATGATAGAAACTCAAGTCCCGTGAGTTAATTTCTTTAGTATGTTTTGTCAAAGTTGCTATAAGTGGTGCTTGAGAGAATTTAGGCAATGAAATGAAGCCACTTGGAATTTTATTGACTAGCTTCTTTTCAAGATTACCTTTTATTAGGTCGAGTTGGGAATTCACTAACAAATGGTTTAAAAACATTAACTAGAATTGAAACTTCACCTTGAAATTGATTCAACAATCTTCAACTAGCAGCTGGCACTCAATAGGTGGTGATATATGTTTAAGAGGGAAAATCTAAACATCAATTAGCATAGGCTAGTCAAAAGAAAGTTCAAGGAAAAAAGAACAACAAAACCATTAATCGACATAGGCTAGTCAAAAAAACGTTTTTTTTTTTACCTATATGGGTGGATGAGCCTTAATTCCTAAATCCTTCTAAAAAATGAAAGTCGATAAATGCTCTAGTATCTAATAAGACAAGTCAAACAAAGTGAGTTTTGTTAAGGCTTGTACTTGGAGATAATTTAGAAAAGAAGACATAAAAAAACTTAGTCTAGTCCGGATTTAGTTGAACGGCATGATTATAGAAGTAGATTGACCTTAGAGACCTTATCCTTTGGTTTTGAAGTTTAGCTAAGGATTTCTTGATGAGGTGGAATCTTTTGATGAAATCCTTCTTCGATGTCATTAATTATTTCAAAAGCACAAATTGTTTTATCTTTAAAATGTAATAAGAATTTTGACACAAGGGTTTCGAATGGAAATCATTATCGCCTCTTGTATTACTCGTATACTTTTACTCTTCTAGAGATCAATCTCAAAATTCTATGGGACTGCATAAAGTGGCTGGATATACAAAATTTTTCTTTTCTTTATGTTAAATGCTTGTGTTGTTTCACTACTTGAGTTAACTCCTCTTATGTTAAATCTCTTGAGGGAAAAAAGGCAAAATAATTTTCCTATTCTTTAAACTATTCTTCTTTGCTAAAGTCGTTAAAAAGAAAATCAATTTAGGGAATAGTCTTTGAAGTTTGATGATATCTATAAAGATGAAAAATACTTACGAGTTTTTATAGGCAATTTGGTTTTAGTTGATGGTGATTTTCTCATTATCGATGAGCTACCAATGTATTGAAATAATTTTTATCCGTCAGTCATAGAGAAATTATTATCCTAAAATATCAACAACATTATAGTGAATGAAGAAGTCATTCTAATGATTGGATGATAGGCATTAATGTCCTACACATTAATATAACCTATCGATTCAGTTTTGACAAATTGTGCTAGGAAATCTCAAATGTTTATCCTCTTATTTGATGGCTGATTGATGGTCAAAATAAATGGTTTTGCCATCGTTTGGATTAATCCAAATTGTTGAGCATAGAGGTTAGGGCTATAAGCTTCAGCAAAAAATAGATCTCCAAGAGAGTGAGTCAAGTCTCCACTTACTAAGATTACACTCCAAATTGATTGTTTGTCGGCATAAAATTATACCTCACGAAGCAATTTGTTTGAGCAAAACCAAAACAACCCATAGTTGTGTGCTTGAAATGGTATCCAATCTTCTAATATATCTCATTTATGCTTAGGCTCGAGGGTATACCTTAGAACATTCGAGAGGGTTAGAAGTTGATAGAATACCTATACACAAGAGAATGGTCGTAGCTATCTAGGTTTTCTTTGATGGATCAAAGTTGACCTAAAGTTGGAAAGTAGAATTCACCCCACATCTAAACGAACCAAAGAGGATAAGATAAAGTCTTAAACCTATTAGTCGATGCACTATAAAGTCTTGTATATGCATAGACAAGGAGAATTGGATCCATAGTAACTCATCTTATCCTATCAAGTGAAGCCAAGTTGATAGTCTAAGGCAAAAAGGTTGTAATTTACTTTTTTAACTTTGAGCCAATGATATATTTATAAATCCATATTAAATAAAATTCATCTCCTCATCGGTAGATATTTCTGCCCCTCTCTACAGACAATCGATCAAGTATCCATAAGCTTTAAGGAGTCTATTCTCTTAGGCCTTGAGGTCTTTTCCATTCGCCTTAAGAGCCAAAGTTTGGCTAGTTAGGTATAAGCGAGTGATGGCTATGATAACAAGTAAAGTAATTGATATATGTCCCTTCAAAAATTTATTGATGTAGGGATTTTGAAAAGCAACCATTGTTTTCACTAGGCCATCGTTGTATAAGAATGGGTTGCTAGAAGAATGGCCTTCTAAAATCCCATCATCTTCCATTTTTAACCTAATTATGGGAGAAGACTTTTTTTAACCTAATCTTCATATTCGATATCTAGTTTCAAACAAACAATAGAAAAAGTCTTGGTAAACTGAGTCTAATTTTAGAGAGTTAGGTAGAGTTCGGGGGAAAAGATTATACTCGCATCATATGTCTTTGAGAAGTTGTATCGATCATCTTTGCAAGATGAATAGCTTTGGAATTGACGATAGGACCCGACATCGGATAAGAGCTTTTCTTTGGGTTCTTTTTATGCCCAAATCACAATGTTAATAATGTGTTGTTCACAGTTTGAAAGAGGCTTGTGTTAATTACATCGGGTTTCTCGAAGAGTTCATTCGATCGATAGTAGTCTCCCGAAGGTAAATTTCTCTTGAACAACTTTCTTCAAAGATTTTGTGTTTCCTTTTAAAGCCATTTTTTGTGAATGAAGAAAGGAGAAATTCAATAAAAGTTATAAGAGATGTTGATAGAATGTCAAGAAGAAAGCAAGGGTTTTTGTATCTTGTAAATGTGTAGCAAAAGAAGAAATCTCAGCCAAAGTGAAACCTTGAAAAATCACTTTCCCTTTTTATGTGATGTGTGATATGTTTTAAGGGTTGTGATAATTAAGTTTTAAGGTTTAATATTCAGATATGGTGAAATAAAAACCATTTTATTGAGTAACCAAAACGTTAAAGTGTTTACGACTAGCCATTTAAGAGATGGAACATCACATGGTGTTGTGACATCTATCATCATTTAATGCTTTACCCATTAGAGAAAGAAATTTTTACTATTTCATCTCTAAAAGCCTAAACGAGGGGCATGTGTTAGCACTTAAAATTTTTTAAAAAAATACGTCGCTCGGGTGTGGCATCCTTTCATTGTGATATAGTGAAACTTAAATGAAATGCTTTGTTTGGTCTTACAACCAATCAAACTTAATAAAATAGCAAGACTTAAATGTAACGCTACATTTGTTCTTGTATCCCACCAAGCTCGACAAAACAAGCAAGACTTAAATGAAATGGTGCATTTGGTCTTATAACTAATCAAACTCGACGAAATAGCAAGACTTAAATGAGACATTACATTTGGTCTTATAACTAGCCACATTCGATAAGCGACGAACAAAAACAGAGTTACTAATAACTATTCATCCTCAATTTCAAACATCGAGCGGTTATTGATTGTGGGTAGAAACTATTTGAAGAAGAGAAACCGACAAAGAAAGGGATCACAATCAACACACAAGTCTTTTTCAACACAAACTTGTCTAAGTTTTCTAGTTTACTTTGTAGTAGTTAGTGTTCACATTCTTGCAAGTAGTTTGATAACCTTTAATAATTTCCTTCTTGCTTTCGGTATTTTTGGTTTTGAACCTAGAAGGTGTTGATTCATCCCCAATTGTGATCAAATGGCTTCAAGTATTTTGATAGCTACCGATGTAAGTGTCATATTTTTCGATTTATGATTTTTACACTTTTTTAGGGAGTTTGTCTTTTTTGATTAACGATATTCTCTCTATCTCTCGGGTGTTATCTCTTTCGATTAATAACATTCCTTTTTATTTCATATTTTTATTTAAATTAAGTACCCACGAAAAGTTCTAGTGGCTTGCTAGGTGAAATTGAATCCCATATCATTTCATCACGAAATTCTTGGTCGCAAATTAAAGCATTAACCTACTCCATTTTGAAACCGAATTCAACGAGCAACAACGGAAGGGTAGCTAATTTGATTGTTCAAAGGGAAAGATAATGTAGAAGTTGAGTTAACAAGGTCGGGCGGTGATCCCTTGCCGACTGGGTGATCGGGTTTTCTATATTTGGATCAATCCGTGCCAATCGTAACGAGGCTTCCTCAAAAAATGAAGTTAGTTTAACATCATTACTTGAAAATTGAAGCAAAAAATTTTTGATCGGATCGGTGCGATCTATAACGGGGTCGAGCCGTGATCCCTTGCCAACTATAATTAAGCTTCCTCGGAAAATGAAGTTAGTTTGACATTATTAGAGGTACGTTTGTCTATCATCACTTGAAAATTGAAGTAAAAGGATTTCGATTAGACTATCGCAATCTATAAACTTCAATTCAAGTAAAATTGCTTTTGGTCGATAAATCTCAAGTTCGTGCTATCTTATTTAATTGTACTAGTCTAGTCAACTCGTTATTACTTTATCACATATAAAAAAATCGATTAATGTTCTTCATTTCTTTTCGGCTAGTTTATTTTCACCTTCCCCGTAGACTTGGCTCTACTTTCCTCCTCTCGCTTTGAAAAATGTATGAAAATGGTGTTTTAGTGCAAGAGAAACAAGCGACATCACTTCTAATCCACCGAGATAGTTTTGAATCAAGATAAGTTCAAAGGATTTATCTTTACGTGATGGATGGATCTTATGGTTATGAAAAAAAAGTGGTCAATTTTTGCTTAACCTATATCAATTGAGTAGGTTATGGTTAATAAAATAGTTGAAGTCAAATCTTTGGAATCCGATAGGAAGATAAATGTCATGACCCGAACCGACGAGCTACAACCGGCACGTAGCCCGGGGTGGGGTGACCCACCACGAGCTATGTGATCCTTAATCCTTTCTCTATTTCCTATAGAAATTTCGACAGCATTTCCCTATAATTTGAGGGTCCCAAAAATAATAGATATCTTGCATAAAAATCACAATATATATACACTTCCAAATCATCTTCATCAATTCTTAATCATCATCAAGTCCCTCCATTGGACATCCACACTTCCTCATAAATCTCGGTATTTACTAAATTGACTAACAAACACATAATCCAATATTTAACATAACAAAATTCATAAATCATCATTTAACCATCCAAATACAAAACATGGAGACTCTTAACTAACTATCCCCGGATTTGGTGATGCTACCAGCGGAGCAACTAAGTGAAATAAAATATATAATGACTAATTACAATTCCAAAATGGACAATGAGTATAAATTTGAAACAACCATATTCTATACCTGGAGGAAGCAAAATAATATTCGGGTAGTACCTTCAAATCCGGAAAATCTATCGTCCTCCTTCTATGATCTAGCTTTTGTATTATCTACAAAACATTTGAGGTTGAGGGTGAGTTTTCAAAACTAAGTAAGCATAACACATATTATAAATCGCTATATATACAATTATGTCAATGCACCTATCATACATGATTTGCAACCAAGCAAGCAACCAATAACTTTTTCTTTTTCTTTCTTTCTTTCTTAATAATTAATAATAGCATAACAATTACTTGAAATCACTCTATATAGAACTTTCTATTCCTTTGGCCCTCAAAAGGGTAACTATGGCCCCTGCAGGGGTAAACTTTGGCCATCAAAAGGGTAAACTATGGCCCCCATAGGGGTGAACTACGAGGGAAGTACTACGGCCATTCCCTAGTCGGTAATACTAGGTGCACCTAGGCTAACTATAACCCCGTTAGCTTAGTTAGTTCCGTATAGACTTTTTTCAAGTCATCAATATCATTATTCTCACTCAGTACATATCAATTAGACAATTCCATTTAATGCAAGTGATCATCATATCAACATGCACATATACCATTCAATGTATCAATATTCTCTTTAATAACCATAATTCATATGGCAACATACCAATTCAATTCATTTAGCTTATAGTAAAAACACTCATACTAAAATAATTAAACTCATATACAATTATTTGTACTAATGAAGCATTTATCCATTCAATTCATTTTTCACCTCACAAGCAATATAGACATATATGATAGTAAAGACTCATAATAGTTGTTATACTTACCTCTAATCTAGAGGAACACCCCAAATTGCAATTATCTCTTCCTTAAGTAGCTTCTTCCACCAAATCCTCTCTTACCTCTATCATCATAAATTTACATTTATTATAAATAACAATCATTAGACACTAATAAATTAAAAATTCAAGCTTAATTGAACCCTAAATTACCCTTTCACTCACTTTCCCCAAGTTTCTTAAACTAACATAAACCTTAATTTTAATCAAACATAATCCATAATTCTAATTCTTAATTCAAAATGAAATTCACTAAATTACCTATAACCCATCCTAATTAAGGTTATAATTAACTAAAACATTCAAAAAAAATTCAAAAACTAACTTGATAAATCTTTTTCCTTCTTCCTTATTCCACCTCTTTTTATCCTTATTTTTCTTCTCCTTACCCGAGTCACTCCACCACTGCCGTCGTCGGAGTTGTCGTCGAAGTGGGTGGTCGTCGGTGAGTCTTCTTCTTCCTCTCCTTCCTTCTCCTCTCTTTCCTTTCTTCTTTTTCTCCCTCGTTTTTCTTTTTTCTTTTTGCTAGTTTCAATCCGAAACCATTCCGCCACTTCTTCCCTTTTGTTTCTTTTCTTTTTACCTTATGAAATTACCTAAGTGCCCCTCACTTAAACCTCCTATTTAACTAACTTATTGGTTTTATGGGTATTACAACAAATAAGACCCTAGTGTCATTTCCTGGAAAAGCTCTTCCCATTCTACCGAGTAAGTTGTACTTATAACAAAATATTCGTCCGCGTGATCTAACGAGAACATAAGTGAAAACTCTCTAAAATGGGAAGATTTTTAGTGCTTTTTGTGTGCTTATTCTCATTCTTTATCTTGACCACCTCCATCACAACGAGATATTATCAATCCAAGCTAATCCATAAGAGATGGTGAAACTCTTGTTTCAACCAACGGAAGCTTTGAGCTAGGATTTTTAGCCTTGGAAGCTCGAAAAACCGATACTTAGGAATATGGTATAATAAGTCTCCAATGACGGTTGTATGGATAGCAAACAGAGAAGTTCCACTTCCCAATAAGGTTGAGGCCTTGAATATCATCGCCAAAGGCATATTTATCCTATATAGTAGCGCAATGATATTGTTTGGTCGTCAAATCCATCAAGAACTATAGAGGATCCATTTATAGAGCTCTTGGATTCGGGGAATCTTTTTTTAAGAGAAGAAAATGATAATAGCCTCGTCAAATTTCTATGGTAGAGTTTTGACTATCCTTGTGACACTTTGATACCGGGAATGAAATTGGGGAGCAACTTTGTAACACGGATTGACACGTTCTCGGCATCTTGAAAGAGTGTAGAAGATCCTACTTAAGGTGAATTTTCTTTCCTTATTGATACTCATGGGTATCCCTAGCTCCTTTTGAAGACGGGGAATAGAACAATGTATAGAACGAGGTCATGGAATGGCATAAAATTTACAGGAAATCCTAGTTCGAAACCTTATCCCATTTCCAATGAATTTGTGTTTAACAACAAAGTGGTTTATTACAAGTATGGAATGCATACATCGGTGTTTTCAAGGCTTACACTAAATCCATCGAGCTTTCCATAATGCTTCGTATGGAATGATCGAATATATGATTGGGTTATTACGGATGTTGGCCAATTCGATCGGTGTGAGAATTATGCCTTTTGTGGTCCAAATACTCACTACGAGATGAGTAGCTCTCTTATATGTGTATGTTTTGTTGGATTCATGCCCAAGTCCCCAGCAGATTGGAACTTTTTAGATTGGTCGGATGGGTGTATCGGGAGGACTCCACTAGAATACGGGGAAAAAGTTGGCTTTCTAAAATATAAAGCGATGAAATTGCCATATACATCGTTTTCCTAGTTTGACAAAAGTATCAGTCCGATGGAATGCGAGAGATTGTGTCCGAAGAACTACTCCTATACATCTTATGCAAATTTAGATATCGGGCGAGGTGGAAGTGGATGCCCGATGTGGTTTGGTGACTCGATTGATACAAGAAGGTTAACCGGGGATGGACAAGACCTTTATGTGAGGATGAATGCTTCGGGATTGGGTAAGTCCGGCAATTATCCTACTATTTATTCATTTATTCTCTTCGACCTTCATCCCGAGGAAAAACCATTTCGTTTCTTTTGGATTCAAAAAGACTAGAAACTAAGAAGTGTTCACTCAATCGGTTTCTCGATCTCTTCTACAACATTTTACCTTCTCAAAAATAAAATTGCAAGATTCAATTCAAGTTCATATAACATGGAACTCTTGAAACGGGGGATGTGTTAGGTTCTTCTAACTATTTTTCTATGCATTTAGGTGTAATTACGATAAAGAGGACCTTTAGTAAGAAGAAGCTAGCGGGAATAGTCTCCGACACAATTGTAGTAGTCATTGGCATGGTAATGTTAGGATTGATCTTTTCCATGTGGAGGTGGAAATTTAGAAAGAAGAACCGCTTTGGAGTGAGGAAGGAAGATATGGAATTTATTAAGAAGAGGGAAAAACTAAGAGAGAAAGTATTTTTGTATATATTGAATCTGTACAGTTCTAGTTACAAAGGGTGGAAATGTCTTTATATAGTGGTTGACGGTAGACTTAATGAGCTACAATCCTGTACAACTAGCTCATACCTTTTCTCTATGCATACCTGTTATCAAGTAAATATATATACAATAAACATTTCTCAATACTTCCCTTAAGTTAAGGGTTTATATAAATCATAAACACCTAACTTGGACAAAAGAAGATGATGAGATTTGTCGCCCAAGGCTTTGGTGAATATGTCGACAAGTTGCTCTTTAGACCTAACAAAAACGAGCTTGAGCAACCCGGATTTAATCTTGTCATGAACTAGATGACAATCAATGTCAATGTGTTTGATGCATTAATGAAAAACTAGGTTGGAGGCAATATGGATCATTGCTTTGTTGTCACAGATGCATGAGGGCGATTGGTAAAGATGAAACCCGCAAGTCTTTCAAAATACCAACTAACTAAAACATTTCACAAGTGGCCGAAGCCATAGCCCCGTATTCGACCTTCGTAGAAAATCGAGAAACGGTGTTCGCTTCTGGTCTTCCAAGAGATCAAAGAGTCGCCAAAGAAGATGCAAAACCCGATCAAGGATCTCTTGGACATGGGGCAAGAAGCCCAATCCGAGTCACGAGTAAAGC